TTTAAAAATTATATCAAAATATAGCTCTCATGAACTCCTAAAACTTTTGTATGAAACATTTTTGTGTATCTCCTTCAACAAACCAGATATTGCCCGTCACATAAAATGTGGGACACCCGGTATAACCACACATGTATAAGTAGGGTTGACAGAGAAATGAGTGAAATATTTTAGACCGTTTTTTTAGCTTATCCCACTATTGTTATCTCGGAAACACGAAGTCAGACAAAAGTTTCGTTTCTTGGGGAACTAGAGTAATCTCTTGTCAGATCGAGAATATCAGTGGTTATTTTTGAAATATTTTTGAAGCCACTGTAATAACTGATTCAGCTCAATTCATAATCATTATCGTTGAAAAAAGTAAATTTGGAATATATTTTTCCAGGTATGCTCAAACGTCATGCAATTTCTCTAGCTCAGCTTCCACCACCAATCGAAAACGACGACGAGAAAGAAGATTTCTGTTTACCCCCGCCGCCAGAGTTCGGCGAAAACAATCCTAATTTCAATGAAGTAGTAGTGGCACCGCCTCCTCAGTTCAGCGATCACCGCCAAGTGACCAAAGTGAGAATAGTAGGAGCCGTTCCTAAAGGGACGGTAGTCAATTCGCAACCAAAATTGAAGCAAGGTAGACTACATAGTCAGTGATTTAATGGTTGATATGTGTTGTTTTTACAATATTCAAAAAAAAACTTTTTTACGATTTAATACTCAATTTTGATATTTGATAACATACAGTATTTAAGTATTGTCGATTTGTCCATGCAGTGAAGTTCCTCAGATTACGGGTTGTGACGTTACTGGAGTTGGGATATACCATATAAGTCAGTTTCTAAGTAAATACTACAAAAATTACAGAAGCAGTAGTGACAGATAAATCGATGTATAAAAATAAAATCAAAGTTTTTGAAATCTACCTAATCGACATCAAGAAAAACACATCTATCTATCCTTAAGATGAATGCCCACTAAGTTTCAGTTCTACACCATTTGTTTTTGAATTCAAAAAAAAATTAGCAAACCCCATCCTTTGCAGATTTTTTCAAGAGATTATTGAGTGAGCCACACAATGGGAGACTTCTCTGAATGGTGTCAACCAATTATTTATGTAGATCTTCAGGAAGTAAAATTCGACAATGTTTACTTTTATTCAATAGAAAATGTATCAGTGAATTGAATAATGTTGATTCTACCTTTTCTAGATTCAAACCTTTCATATTATTGGGATAAAAAGTATTTTATTTTTTGGAGGTGAAGTCGAATATAGGTTAGAGATAATAACTTTTGTCTAATTTACACTAAGATTTTTATTTGTTATGACGGGTATCGGTTTATCAAACTATTTGTTATCGGTCGTAAAAAATAAACATCTTAGTAGAAATTAGACAAAAGTTATTTTCCCCATCCTGTATTCAATATGAATTTCCACAAAATAAATAAGTCATCAATAAAGCAAGGTTAGGTTGCCCATTATACGTTCATCAATAAAATTAATTACCTTTCATTTAGTATAACTGCTGTCATTATTTCCTAAATTTCATTTTTATATTTTCATCTGGGTATTTATTTATCAGATAGGTATTGGATTGAACTGTGTTGATAACATTTTTCTTCAGTTAATATATATTCGAGAGCCTAGTGCCGACTTTTTTTTCCGAACATTGAATTACTTTTTGTGATACTATATTCAATATAATTAGATACCCAGGTCAGCGCACTAGACACAACAGAAAGACGAAATATTCACTTTAGTTTTGAAACAAAGATAAAATAAACAGTTTTTGAAAGCAGAATAATCTAATACAAAATAATAATTTAAAGTACCTAATGATAACTCATACAGAAACCAAAATTACATTTGATTAATTGAAACAGGGAAAGTTAATTGATATTGTGAAGGTTACTGTCAAATTGTTCACTGAATGTGGTTAAAAATTGTCGAATTTGAATTTGCACGAAAAATCTAGCACAATTGAGAGAAAACCCTCATACCCTTCATAGAAACTGCAAAAATCCAAATCTGTTTTTTAGAAAGAAAATATTCTTCTCCATATTGTTATTTCGGGTGAATAATTTCTGGAAATGAACCAGTCCACAATCTGGATAAATGAAGTATTTGACATGATTTTCCTAAGAAAATTATCAATGATTTTTTTAAGGCTCCACAGTGATATTAATTTTGGATACACTATTTCAATTTTATTTATGCTACAATTCTCTTTCTATCAAGACTGGTTATCCCACTTCACTGTCGTCGTCACCCTAAAAGGTCCAATTAAAATGAATAACGAAACTACCTATTGAATGTATTTATGTAGACCTATTTCTCTTTGTGAATCCATTTTTTGTGTGGGAACACAGACCTGAATAAAAAAGAATTGAAAAAAATCGATTCAAATTGTTTCTATCAAGCATTTAACAGATACTTTCGTTAACTACTCCCATCAGCTATGGAAGAGTGGCAGGCCTTCCACATAGGGACAGATCTAATATTTAAGTGAGACTCACCAATAAAGTATTATGTAGGAAGCATTACCTATTAAATGCCATAGATGTAGAACCTGAACAAACTAAACTGATCATTGGTAGTGTTTTGCTGCGTAACTCCCAAATAATTTACTCTTGATTATTTACTTTCTTCACTATTTTCAATATTGAAATATTGAATGGCGGTGTGAGTCAATAAGATGACGAATAGTTGAAGAATATATTGAGGATGAAGAAAAGATACATATAAAATATTTCATCATGAAAATTATTTCATTAGAAACTTTCACTTTTTATACTCAAGGCTTTCCAAAATTCAAATGTGGTACTTCAAGTCATTTTGATTTTTGAAATTTTCCATGACTTTTCTTCGTGATCACAAAACTTGTGACATCACATAATCTGTTTTGAAGTAATTAATTTCATTCAACCTTGCTATTTTTTGTGTTTCCACCGTGTTTTTTGTCTACTCCGTTTTTTTTCTGTCTACTCCGTTTTTTTCATTCCAAAGATGTTTTGTTATTCCAGACAGTAAAGTATAAAAATATACCTATATCATAATAGATATTCCAAATCTGTGATCATTTCTTTTCAATTAAATGAGTATTAATGTTTGCAATTTGTTCAAAAGGGTGAGGGGTTGTACTTTAAAGACAGTAGACAAACATGTCAAAAAATGTAGGTTCACTAACTTCAGTATGACCATGTTTACACGACATCTTCAAAGAAAAATTCTAACAACCGATGTCACTAAAACCAACAATAATGCCAACATTCATCGATCATCATCAAATCACTTTAACAACCTCAAACCTTTTAGACAAAGAATCAAGACTATGAAATTAGATTCATTCTTTCATGTAAACACCAAGTTCAAGTGGTGTAATAATTCAGTGACATGAAACTTTCCTAGAGTAACAAACTGATGAAAAAACTGACTGAATGAAAAAAGGCAGAGGTAGATAATAATAGACAGGAAAAGATTTCTAAATGGTTATTTGAAAGTATCTGAAGATATGTTTTAGAAAAATCAAATGTAATCCAATCCATAAGTGATTGAACATTTTTTATCACAGTTAAGAAAAAGAATCAGGGGCAACTGCACTTTCATTAATTTTTCTTCTGAATATGTTGCGACATTAATATAAACGTGGAAATAATATATGATCCCAGAAAAACATTCCTGCTATCACAATAGGTATTTCCTCAAAGTTTTCTATTTTAAAGCAGCTGACAGCTCGTATGCCAAATGCCAAATTTACACACGGTTCGACAAATGTAGCATCGTGTTGACAGCAATAGAAGTCTGGGATAATATTATTCTTATGAAAAGTATTTAGCAGATAGAATATATTTTCGTTAATGATGATTGCATATTGATTTTTTCAGTTCAATATTCTAAACATATGACTTAGTTTATGTCAAAAGCTTCCATCTCCATGCAAGATGTATTGAAACTATTTCTTTCTTCATTTAATCCAATACATTAAAGGAAGACAAAAACTGATTATGAAAAATATCTTTAGGGACACTTTGTACATGAATATCAAAACAACCATGTATTTTTATTGATCATCATGAAACTTTGCAATTGAGCTGTCTGAAAATTTGGACTCTATAAATAGTGTTCTCTTCTTCACCTTCAGTCATGTTCTGAATAATTTTGTTACTTATGATTGTTCTCAAAAAAAGTTGAAAAAATTGCCAGAGGAGGCAAGGTGTTGAAAAATGCTCACAAGATCAGATCTGGAACTAGTTGCTATTTTGAAATTCTTGGTAGAGCACTAAAGCTAGTTGATTAATCGAGTGAATTTTGAGAATGCAGTTCTTCTAGTGAAAATACGTGAGTTAGTTGTTTTAATTGTAATTTAAGCATATTAGTAAAATTCCGTCACTCACCTTATAACCATCCTGCCAAAAAGTATATTATGATAAATTATATTTTTGGAATTATCGATGTATTCATATATTGTTGTCGATTCGTGTGTCTTGAGTAAATCATAGTTGTTTTCAAATACTTGTAACCATCTGGGATATGTTGAAGTATAAAAAGTCAGTGTTTTCACATACATAGATCATACCTCTTACAAGATAAAGTTGTCATGAATAGGTACAGAATGTTTACGGTCTTTATGTTTTAATTTCAGACATAATCAGAAGGTTATGGTGGAAAAAAAATTCTGATAGTTTTTTTGGTAAAATAATTAGGCAACACTGGGAGGTGGAGGTGTGCTAGATGGGTTGAATGTTAACGGATCTCATTGTGGAATATTGGCAGAATTTTATATGGTCCTTATGCTTGTTGTATAAAAATATCTTTCTTGCAGATAAATGATGTGCCTTCGAATACATATTCGGTTTTTGTAATAACCATATAATGTTATGTGTCAAACTGAAACTAATAACTACAATCGAAAGCAAGCTCACCACATTAAGTATTTAAGGTGGATTTACGGCAACAACATATTTTTTTTTTCAATTTTTGCTTCATCTTTCAGTATTAAAGATGAAGTATTGAGCAATTTATGCAGAGTTAAATACTTGATTGCCACTTCAGTAAAAATTCTGAAAATGATATGGGTATCTATTATATATGATAAGTTAAAGTAATGGAGTGATTGTATTATACAAGGACGTCACAACCCGCGACTTGCACTCTGTAATAGAGGTATGCTAATGGATCTATTATGTCATAATCAAACAAAGGTATTGTTGAAATGATAATTCAGGTAAAGATAAAATTTGATGGTGTCCAAATCCACCTTTAGTGTTACATACCCATATTTCAGAGTTGAGCACAAAACACCAAACTCCACTTTCATCAATCCAGAATTTGCCAAGAATAATTAGTAACATGTGCGCCGTTGCCAAACAATGAAGTGACATATAGAAATGTTTCTGACCGAACCAAGAGTTAAATAGTAAAATGGCATGGAATCTGTTTGAAATAATGACTAAGACCATGAACATGCATTCAAAGAATGCTTCTACCACACTCTGATGAGGAAATTCATGAGATATATGAATTAAAAATTGTTTAACCTCTTGTTCATATTTGTGAATTTTTTGCCAATTGAAATTCTCATTCACGTCAACATATCCCTGTGGACGTCCATTCTGATACCAAAATATTGAGATATTAAAAATGTCATTGTTTCAAGTTCTTTGGGTTGCTTTTGCTGATTAGAGCCATACTGTAATTATTATTGATTGTTGTTTTCCAATTGTTACACATGGGAGCATTCTAACAATAAACGCTGAACTTACTGAATCATTTTTTTTCTCAATGGGAAAGTTCTATCTGTGAAACCAACTTGGTATTTTTCTGTGCAAAACTATTTTCAATCCCATTCAGTATTTAAAAGATAACAGTTAGTTGTGCTACTTTTCTAGGCTCATAATTTTGATTTCCATTATTGACGATTATTAACTGTCATATGAAAGAGTACAAAAGTATTTTCATCAGATTAGTATAGTCATCACCTATGTATTACATTATTATGTGCTTCAGAAACGTTTTCTTAGTTTATCTGTGATTGAGTTGTACCTAACCGAAATTATAAAAGTCGTTGGTAAACTTGCCATTGAATGGAAGTGAAAAGAGTTGAATTTGAGTTTTCAAGGTTTCAGTCATCAGAATTTACCCCATTCAAACACAAATTATTTTAATATGCATTAGTTTCAATAAGATTGCTTCCATGACTGATCAACATGTTGATTGCAGAGAGTGAAATCATTGTATTCTTACCAGGATGTTAGTATTTATATATTTTATTTTATGATTGTGTATTATTGTGTTACTTGATTTGTAAGATATGCTCAAATATTGCCTATTCACAGTTTACTTGTTAGTTTATTGTAAATATAATAATGGGGTATAGTTACTGTATGAATATTATTGTACAGTAACTTTTCAGAATTCTATTACAACTACTATAATATGTTTAGTAGTTCTAATAGAAATATTATTGGAGGTTTTTAACAATTTGTAAATATCTTTTCTGTGCCTATTTATTCCACTGTAGCATCAAGTTATTCACATTCATTAACTGAATCACTGTTGAGAATATGAATCAGTTTTTGTTAAGAATCTCAATTTTTCCTTTTGTTTTTTGAACAATTTGTAAAGTTTTGATTGTAAATTTGGACAAAGTGTCAAATTATGGTTCAACAAGTGAATTATTTCTGTTTTGCAATACGGGCTTTTTTCACATTCCTGTATATCAATTCTCGATTATTTTGTATCAGTGTTTGAGCGTTTGTTCAAATTGAAGTGGAACTAGCTAAATTAGCGGTTCGAGTCATAGTTTATTAATTTTTTTCACATGGAAAATTGTATTGCAATAACTTTTTTGTAAATAAATATAATATTTAATATCGAATAAGTAATAATGCAGGTGTTTCATTCCAACAATTGTGTCCTCATCAGTGAATATAAATAAGCAAATAGTGAATATGTGGATATGCAACGAGATGAGATCTGAATCAATGATTCAATGGACCAAATTTCAATTGATATTAAAGAATCTTCAACTATTGTACCTTTGTCCCCCCTGCTATTGTACCTTTGCCCCCCTCGTATTGTACCTCTTTTGAACGTGGCGATCTGACTAAAACACCATATAAAAGATCGAATTTTAGCTTTCAAAGTCACTTGACTTGAAAAATATACAAAGTTTTTTGTACAACTGTCCTGTTTTCAAAATAAAATAGATGAATTGAATTTTTCTGTAAAAACACATTTTGACATCTCTTGTCATTTAACTATTTTCATGCATTTGCTGAGAAGTGGACGTGTCAGGTGACGCTGATCACCTGATTATCAACAAACAGTATTGTTTACAGCTCACGGGTTTTATTTAAAGTCACATTTAAAGTTCTTGCTGGTTTTTAATGTCTTGCATA